AAGCCTTTCCTATTCCCAAAGGCCGTTTTCAAGTAGTACACCTCGACATCGTGGGACCTCTACCATCATCCTACGGTAGCACCTACATCTTCACCTGCATCGACCGTTTCACCAGGTGGACAGAAGCAATTCCCATGCCCAACGCTACAGCAGAGACTACTGTCCGCGCCTTCATGTCCGGTTGGGTTTCCCGTTTTGGCCCCCCCGCAACCGTAATAACTGACCGAGGAGTACAGTTTGAGTCACAACTCTGGCAGCACCTTCTACAGTTCCTCGGCACGTCTAGACAACGCACTACAGCATACCACCCTCAAGCCAACGGCATGGTAGAACGTTTTCACCGGCAGCTGAAGGACGCACTCAAGGCACAGCACGACCCTTACAGCTGGACTGATGCGCTTCCCTTAGTGCTCCTCGGCATCCGTGCGTCACACAAGGAGGATATGGACTGTAGCCCAGCAGATCTGACACTAGGCGAGCCCCTTCGGCTACCCGGGGATTTCTCACTCCCTCCTGATCCCAACCAAACCACTCCAGCCGTTCGTCACGACTTACTCCAAAAGCTACGACAAGTAGTTTCTGCATTCAGAGCTACTGCTCCACGCCAGCCTACTCAGCGCCCTGAACACATCCCTCCTGCACTACTCACAGCCGAGTATGTTTTCGTCAGGCATGATGCTCACCGCAACCCATTACAACGCCCCTACGATGGACCCTTCCAGGTGGTTACCCGTTCTGCAAAGTTCCTGACAATTATCCGGAATGGCAGACATGACACCGTCAGCATAGACCGAGTCAATCCGGCCGCCTTACCCTTCGGGCCCCCAGCCCAGCAGCACCATCAACAAACTACGCCTGCACCAGTCCACCCGCAGTTACCACCGGCAGCAACACCACGCCCACGACATTTCTGGGCACCCTCTTTCCACCCTCATGTACAACCTGCTCCTGTCATAGAACCTGAACCTGTAATAAACCTCCCTCCTATCATAGAACCTGCTCCTGTCATAGACCCTCCTCCTGTCATAGAACCTGAACCTGTAATAGGCCTCCCTTCTATCATAGAACCTGCTCCTGCCATGGACCCTCCTCCTGACGCAGCCCCTGCAGCAGCAGGAGCACAACAACCATTGCTTGTACAACCTCCTCTAATCCCAAACCCTCTTTCTCCTCCTAATTCTCCCACAGGTTTTGTGTCACTGGACGGAGTTGTTACACGTAGCGGTCAAGTCGTACATACACCTGCCCGGTATGTGTTATGTGTGGGACACAACCCGGACAACATCCAGCCTCCCGCCGCGCCAAGAGGGGAGGGGGAGTATTGTAGTGGACGTCTCCCCTACAACTGCTTACAACTGCGTTGCCACAGCCACCACCTGCTACCGCATTCCGACGCGCTGGCGTCTCCTAGCAACCAAGCGAGAGCTGATGCCAGATGGTACGGTTGCTTAGCAATGAAACTACTCACCGGCAACTTTCTGGGTTTCCCCAACATGATTCATAGAGGACTGGCGGCTGCTGCTGGGTATATAAGCTCTGTCTCTCCATTGAGATTCATTCTGCCCATCTTCCTGAACAAGCAACACCTCCTCCAGCAAGCTCCACGCTGTTAACATTTATTCAACCAGGAGGCCAGCAACAGGCAACATCTTCTCTAATGAAGCTCCTGCACATCTACCTCCTTCAACACGCTACTCACCGAACGTCTTCTACTGAGCAGCTCCCCACCACACGGCATCTCCAGCACCAGACTGTCTATCATATAACTTATATATTATACAAGAAAACCACATTAGAGTTTCCTTCCATCCTGAGTGCTAGACTACATTAATATCTCGATACCCCTACAGTATAAATGAAAGAAAATACTTGCAGTGTGTTTAATATGTTACAGTATATTATAAATAAATAAATAAACAAATAAATCGGTAAATCCATTTCAAGTAAATGGAAAAATTTTACTCGACACCGACATTAGTTCCAGTTACCGATAAATAGCAGACGCTTCAGTGACGTCACTAGTGTTTACACTACACCAGTGGGTAATATTTGATGACATTACTTGAAGTGAATTGGCCTTATTTTAAAAAACCAAGGATGGTTGGTAAAGGACTACTGAGTCAGTGGGTAAGTGTCACATTTGGGGTACTGGTCTTATACAGCAAATAGAACTCAAAAGCTCCTTTTTAAATGGAAATTTGGGGGGTCCGTCTTATGCACCCCGACGCCTTATAGGCCGCGATATACGGTATGTTTCCTTGAGTGCGCACATATACATTCGCGTTCCACTATCAGTCTCACTTTTTCTTTAATATCAGTGGTTACTTCTCCTGTACAGTAAATAACATTAATTAAAACATACATATTTTTTACATTAATTTAACTCCAATAACAACCAGGGTCTTATTTTCTTCAGTTTTATGTGGATAACTGACAGTATGGGTGAAAACACTGACAACAATGCTGTCTCTTATCCTCTTGTGTTTTAATATTCTATGTAATATTAATGAATTGTATTGTTCATTTCGCATATATAAAGATTAATTCGATCAAATACATATTCAGTAATAAACAATAATGAATCTTTTGCATACAGTATTCTTAAAAAGAAAGATAAATGATGCGGTATCCTTAAATGCACACGTATTCTGTATGTTGGCATTCCCAATCCATCTCTTTTATTTTCTTAGCCATTAGTGGTTAGCTACTTCTATTGTTCCATTTATTAACATTAAATAACGTTACTTAAAACACATATATTCATTTTTTTACATTAATTTTACTACAGCTACAACTAGGGTCTTATTTTCTTCATTTTCTCGTGTAGAACTATCGTCCCCGACTCCCGGCTGTAAACACAAACAAAAACAATAGCGTCCCATCTCCTCTTGTGTGACCATATTATTATTAATTTATATTGTATAAAGTGCATTCAGAAACAGTATTTAAAGAATATACAGTAGTTTGCAATTTTCATTAATTGTATTGTTTTTGGGGGAAAAAAGGGTAAAAAGCCACACAAAAGATATGAAAAGGTCACACTTGGGAATGCATCTCATTATTATTGCTTTATTTTAATGGTAATATGATTAACTATTTGATTCCAGTATATATTGCATTTACATGCACAAAATCATGTTTTTCCCCACAAAATCACTTTAAAATCACTTTCAATAATTGTATGACGAAACTTACTAAAAAAAAAAATCTACAAAATATCCTTGTAAAATAAGGGTGCGTCTTATATGCCGGCAAATACGGTAATTGTTCTACGGTATGAGCTACAAGGGAAGCCTGTTGACAGAATCTGGGGATTTTTTAACTCTATCAACCAGACGCAGAAGCCTTATCAAGTGTGTTTACTTAAAGAGCCCCATACTGTACTTTAATTGGCAATTGTCCACACAAGCTCATTGCCCAAACTTACAATGGTGCAGCTGCTTTAAGTGGAGTCAATAAAGGTGTGCAAACCAGAATAAAAGAAGTGTATAGCAATGCCCACTATATCCACTGTTATGCACACCAACTGAACTTGATTTTGGAAAAGGCAACATCACAGAATACCCTGTACTAATGTTTGAGTATTTTTCAATAGCTTGTCAGGAATACTGTATCAGCATTTTTTTTCTAAGTCTCCTTAAAGAATGGCTGCATTGGAGAATGTTGCTGGCCATCGAATTCCAAGGCCATCTGCAACACGTTGGAATTTCAAAAGCACAGCAGTCAATGCTGTGCATGAAATGAAAGATGCACTAATTGAATGTTGCAGCACACTGGAAGCATCTAACTCAAGAGACAATGGATCTGCAGCAGCTGGTATCAAAAGAATTGTGAATGATCCTGAATTCGAATTTTAGTTTGAAATTTTGTCCAAAGTAATGCCTCATGTTGACATCATGTACTCTCAGCTTGTCTAGAAATATTTATGCAGCAAAGGCAAATGCCTCTTTAAAAGTTTTTAATTCTGCAGTTCAGAAGTTAAGAGATGAATGTGATGCCATAGTGTGGCCTCCTGAGCTGAAGAGAAGAAAATTTAATGCAGATAGATCAACTGCTGCGAAGGAGGGCTGTGATGTAATTTTGCTGCAATACAGAGAGAGATTCAGCTTTACTAATCATTTGGAAGCAAGCAAGTTACTTTTAGTGAATAATTTTCCAGTGTATGCCAAAAATTTCCAGTAATAAACTTGCACAAGCAGTTGCAGCCTATCCCTTGCTTGAAAAAGACAAATTGAGAACTGAACTTACTACACTGTACACAAGAGAAGATTTGTGTAAATCAGAAAGTCTCAAAGACTTGTTGGAGATGATGAACAACAATCATATACAGTCGACATTTTCAGACACAGTCAAATTGCTGAAAATTTAAATAACAGCTCCAATGACAACGGCAGAAGCAGAAAGGTGCTTTTCAACTTTGAAGAGAATTAAAACTTTTTGTGCAGTACCATGGTGAGTGACAGACTGTCTGCTTTAGCAATGATATCCATTGAAAATCAAATGATAACAAAAATGAAGGATTTTAATGAAAAGTAATAAACCATTTTGCTACATCGAAGAGCTGACGCACCGATTTTATTTTCAAGTAATACTACCATCACCACCTCAGCCATCCCTACCACCCCCACCATCCCTTCTACCACGACCACTACTATGATGCCCTGGAAATTCATGGACATCAACTCATACCTGAGGTAGGTCAAATTTGTGTACCCTACTGTTGTGTGAAGCTTGCAGTTCCCTCCATTTTATTTTACCACGAGCCACCACTGCTCCCAGGTGAATAGTTCTCTCTCCCTAATAAATAATTATCTCTCCCTGGTAAAAAATTCTCTCTCCCTGGTAAAAAACAATTATCTCTCCCTGGTAAATAATTACCTTTCCTTTGTCTAATTAAATCCCCAGAATTGACATCAGCTGTTTAGATAAAAAAATAAACTTTTGTCATATTTTAATTGAGATTAAGATATGATGTAAAAAATGTAATTGAGATAAACACAGTACAAAATCCACTTTATTTACATTATACAAATTTTCTACTTCAAAGTTGAGAATATTAACATCATTCATTATTCATATAAAAACCAGCAGGAGGATATTTGATGAGGAAATCCTTGACAACAGCTGGGAAGAATGCCAGAAACTTGAACCTTTCTCCCATCTGTTCCTTCTCTACCAACATCTTGTACCCAGATATCAAAAATTTTCTCTCCTCCTGTTTACACTGTTTCAAAAGGTTCTGAAATAAAAAAAAAATCAGTATTACAGTATTAGCAAGTAAAACTTAATTGTTAATACATGCCAAAATTAGCTTAGAAATTTTGAAGCGGAAAAATGGTTTCTTTTCTCAAGAGTAGGCAGTGTTCACCCTATGAACTACATTATAATTTACATACAGTACAGTATACAGGGTTTATTTGGTTATATTATGGACTGTCACCACATTAACTGTTGTTCAAGAAGAGCTGCCAGTGATCAAAATCTTTTTCATTTCTCAAAACTCTGCAGTGAGTAGTCATTGTTAAATCTAAAATACACAAAATTCTCTCAGTTTGCTGCACAGCAAGTCAGTGATTTACGTCGTAGATGCGTTCCAAAAGAGTGAGACGTTAATCAGACAATTTATTCCCAAGTCATATTTTTTAAACAAATTAGAGCAAACTACTAAGTTACAGTGTTCTAAGGCCTGTTAAAATTGTATATGACATATTAACACTCTTGTAACAGCGCCATGATATTTAAAGTAAACTATGTCATGTATTCCCGCCAAAAGAACCTGCCCAAGTGTTCCCGCTCAAACTGACCAATGACATCGTGAGTGCCTTAGGCCTGAACCAATAAGTAGAGCTTGTGAGTCGTGATGTCATAAGCATGTGGCTCCCATAGACCATCCAAGGGTCAGTCTAGGTTGTGGTGTGTCGATGGGGGCACTTAAGGTTTTATCCACATCACGAAATGTATTGTGATTCATGTGACCCCATTTAACTATCTAGAACAGGGGTGGGCAATCCTTGCGAGAATTCTTCACCGACTTTCTTTGGGATGAAAGTTGCTTTTCCACTCAGGACGCCTCGGTATATCCTAACAGCATTGCTGGGGTTATACAGGGTGGTAGGAGTGCATTTCTCCCATCTTCTACCAAAACTTTCACTTTACAATCATGGTTTGATCGCTCCTGCTCTCTTGCATGTAAGGAGAGAGATAGGGCATATCAAACTATGGCCTTCTCCTATTACCCATTCCTCTTTCATTACTTTTAGGAATCGTTAAAAGGCTATTCTTCGTAGGGCCAAGCGGAATTTTATAAAAAGAAAGACCACTGTCCTGACTAATTCTTCCTCTAGTAAATCCTTCTGGTCCTTAACCAAAAGCATCTGTAATAACTTCTGCACTCCGTCTTTTCCTCCTCTCTTCCAACCTGATAACTCTATAGCCAACTCTCCCCCTGATAAAGCCAATCTCTTTTGCACCTTATTCTCCTCTAATTCCACCTTAGATGATTCCCACTCTATCCCTCCTACTCCTGCTCCTCCTACTGAACCTATGCACTTTCCTATAATCTCCACTCGTAGGGTTGCTGGTGTGTTATCCAGGTTGGATGTGAGTAAGGCACATGGACTGGACGGAATACCCCCTCGTGTTCTGAAGTTCTGGCCCCTGTGCTTGCTCGCCTCTTTCGCCTCTTTTCCTTCTTCTTGGAAGCATGCCTTGGTTCAGCCCATCCCAAAGAAGGGTGACCATTCTAATCCCACTAACTATCGGCCCATTGCCCTAACTTCATCCCTCTCTAAGACTTCCGTCGCTATCTTGAACTCCCATTTTCTCCATCACCTTGAACGCCTTCCTCTTTTGTCGGATCACCAGTATGGCTTTCGCCTGGTGAGATCTATTGGTAATCTGCTCTCCAACTGCACCCATCTTTGGTCATCTTCGCTTAGGGATTATGGGGAAATTTTTGTCATGGCCCTCGACATATCCAAAGCACTTGACAGGGTACAGCACAAGTCTTTGCTTTCTAAGCTTCCCTCTTATGGTTTCTCTTCCCCACCTTGTTTTCTAATCTCGAGCTTCCTTGAGAACCGATCCATGGCAGTTTGCATCGGTGACACAAATCAACCTAAAAAATTTTTAAAAAATTTGCCCCCCAAAATTTTTCAAGATAATTGCATCATACAAGACTGTCTTGCAAGAGAAGCTTCCAGAAAGTACAATATGCTCTAATACTCACTCATTTCATCCCAAACATTGGATAATGGCTTTGGAAAAATCCCTAAATGGCAACTGTAAACTGACGGGAATAAGTACTGGTATTGTAGGAGATATCGATTGAACCCTCCCCCCTTCACCGAGAGATCACAACATATAGTTCATGAAACACTCCTGACTTGCCTCTGTTGTTAATGGAGGGAGAGGACAGTGATAGTTAACACCACCTGCCTGCCTGCATCACAAGCTCAAAGTGACAGCATCTGCTGGTGAGTACTGTACTTTATACAAAATTAAACTGTACATTATTCGACAATTTCCTTTTTTGTAACGAAGTAAGGGGTGTGGAGGCAGGTCGTGAGGGGATGAGTTGAGGGGTGAGGAGGTGAGTAATGAGGCAGGAGGTAGTGAGGTGAGGTGAAGAGGTGAGGGGTGAAGAGGCAGGTAGTGAGGTGACAAGTTGAGGGGAGAGGTGTCTTGCAGGGATTCCAGCAATGCAAATTATATTCTCCTAACTTTAGTTCTGTGATATTATATAAGATAAAAACTGTAAGCCTAAAACCCTGACTGGGCAGATGGGGGAGAGAGAGGGGGAGGTGAGGTGATATGTTTGACAGTTGGCGCCGAAGGTCTAATGTGTGCTTATTTATCAGTCCTCAAGTGTGACTAAGTTTTTCTCTTGTAAAATGCCACTGAAATGACCTGGGAGAATATAGTTTACAGTGCTGGGATTCTTGTAAGATAGTGATTAATTTGAATATAAACAAGCTATAATTTGCACTAGACATAAAAATTTTAGTACCATAATCATTTAGAACATGTACAGTACAGGTTTGCACTTAGATAATTTATTTCTTTTACGCTTCTTTTAGTATGGTGTGTGCATGTAAATGAATAAAAATAAATGAAGAAATTTTTGTAAATCTACCCAAAAATACAGTTGAAAAACTTGTACATTATTAAAATGCACTACACTAATGTACTAATTTCTTTTTCTCTTGTGCAAAATATATGACGCTTATATTCAAATTGTTTATATTCAAGTTGTTCACTGTCTTGCAAGGATTCCAGCAATGCAAATAACATTCTCATAACTTTAGTCTGTGATTTTATATAAGATAAAAACTATAAGCCTAAAACCACCAAACCCTGGCTGGGAAGATGGGAGGGGAGGGGAGGGGAGGTGGGGAGGAAGGAAGGGGAGGTTTCAGTGACATGTTTGACAGTTGGCGCCGAAGGTCTAGTGAAGTATTTATTTGTTTATTTATGTCCTTTAGATTGAGTTTTTGTTTTTTGCTTATAAAATGTCACAGAAGTGACCGGGGAGAATATAATTTTCATTGCTGGAATTCTTATAACATAGTGATTAACTTGAATATAAACATACTATACTGTAGTTTACACTAGAAAAAAATCTTAAAACTTGTAATCGTTTTGTACATTATTTTGAGTACATGTACAGTACAGCTTTGCTCTTAGAACAGTGTGTGCATGTAAATGAGTAAAAATAAATGAATAAAGTTAAATATATAAAGCCAAAAATGTTAGTTGAAAAACTTCATGAAGACAGAGTTTGGATGGCTAAATTTTAGAATGACCAATAATTTTAATATAAAAAATGCAAAAATATTCAAGAACACAACTTCCTTGATATTTACTCCACTGGAAACGAATGTAAACATAGAACCAATTACAGTCAGTTCTGCTATAACGCGATAGTTGTGTTCTTGTAAAACATCGTGTTATAGAAATTCGCGTAATAGAAATAACAGGGCTTATGGAGAAAATAGGGTTAGGTGCAGATTACTACTCGAAATCGAAAAAATTTTAGTAGTTAGCCTAACACAAAGGATAGCACAGTCTAAATAAATGTTACATTCATATCTAATAATGAAATCATACAGTAAATGTAACACTTTACCGTGAAGAAATATGAATATAACTTGATGGGGGAGAAGGGTGATTTTGAGGTTGATAACATCGAGCTTCTCTTCTAGTGTTATAGCCTTTCTTTTACGATCACCGGGAATGCGATCAACAGAACGCTTCTTGGAGATATTCTTCTTTACCATATTCACAGTTAATACCACAAAATTGGAGAAATAGTAAGCAAAAATCGCGTTACAGCAAACAAGCGTTCGCGTTATACAAATATCGTTCCTCTATTCATAAATCGCGTTAGAGCCAATTCGCGTTGTCAAAACACGCATTATAGCAGAACTCACTGTACTGTATTGGCGGACTAGCCTATCAGCTGATGCGCACAACAAAGAATGTTTCTCCTAAGACTTTCGTTAATTGAAGTTTTGTTTGTTAATGGAACTGAAAATCTTAATGGGAGCTAATTCATAAACCGAAATTTCGTTAATTGAACCATCCGTTAATCGAGGGACCACTGTATATCATTTTATGTACAATGAATAGCTCCTTCCTTACTCAAACCATCCTCTGGGCAATGTAACAGTTCAGCCGGGCAATCACCCAGCTGACTCACCTTGGGGGTTGGGAAAGAGGGAGCGCAGAAGAAATAATGAGTCGGCTTCACAGTTACAGCCCACTATCCTACACATAAACACCCATGCTCTTCGTTTTTCTTATTTTATAGTTTTACAATATATTTTCTTTATTTCTATGCCACATTAAAGTATTTTAATGATTATTTTTTCTCAAATGAGTACAGACAAGTGATAAACATGCCGAGCTAGCAAGAAATGCTGGGTGGGTTGGCTCGCATTAAAGGGAGACCCGAGCTTAAGGGCTGTTCAGGGGGTCTGATTCGTATAAGCGGGGTTGCGTACTATGGATACATGTACTCTGACACCCTGCTGTAATATACAGGGAGCCGTCATTTAGTGATCATTCACATAGCGATACAGTATTTTTTATATTTAACGAACTAATACGAGCCACCCCTTCCGTTAAATCAAAATTTCTGCTAAATTGAATATCCATTATTTTTGCCCGATTTAGCAAACCAGTTCGCTAAATCGAGTGACTGCATTAAATTTTGCGCCAAATGCGCCGCTTGGCGCTTGTTTACATCTGCTCAGTTTGTGTTCTGCTGTCACCGCGAGTATTATTCACTGCTACCTTTTGATCTACTTCTCGGTCTACTAACTACTGTGCTTAGACATCATGCCGAAAGTCTCAGAAGTCTCAGAAAGGAAGTGGTGTGAGGGAGGAAGTCAAAAGACTGTGGCTATCAATCGGAAAAAAGTTTGGAAATTATAGTAAAAATTTAAAACAAACACCGAACCCACTAATTTAAGGTCAGCCATGAATTAATTATTTTATGTACATATCATGTGTCTGAGGTGTCTCCGTAAGTGTGAGCGTATTAACGGAATTAACCTCGATTTAGCGAACTAGTTCACTAAATCGAGTGGAAAATAACTGAAAAAATTTCTTTCGTTTTACCTGTATTGGATTCCATTAAATCGAGAGCATACTGTATTTTGATTTAGCGATTTGAGATTGTTAACACCCTTTTCCAGAAAAAAACAGAAATGAACAATTTGGGTAGCCATAGGGGGGTATATATCTAGGTTTATTATAAGGAAATCACGTAGGGGTATGCTACCAATTTGCCATCTACCAACCCACGCCATTACTACTAGTGTTTATTGTAGGTCATTTAAACGTTGTGTTCCGTGCTTTACTATTGTTGCTCCGTAGATTATCGATCACCGTGCAACGTTCCTATTGCTGTGCATCGCTGTTATTATTGTGACTTTTACGAGTTATTGAGTACTGTACGGACTGTTCATTACCCTGTGATATTGTGTAAGGTGAGTGAACTTTGTAACAATGTCAGGTAAGCATACTGCTGTTTTACCTTCCTCATAATGGAAGGCTAAGCTCACCTGCAAGTCCTTGAGCTTGGAGGTGGAGCTTGACATTATAGGGCGCCACAAGATTAGTGATGGTTAAAACTTCATTGCAATAGTACTTGGCCTTCTGACTCTTTGAGAGTGAGTGATGGCCCTAGCAACAGTAGTCCTCCAGCTGAGGAGAGAACACATGATGACTTTGCTCCAAACATGGACTTGGTGAGCGTTATTTTACTCAAGTGTTTCGTAGTTTATTATTAGCAAATTCTACATCCTTTTCCCTCATTTCACCATTTGGCAATCTTTTCACTCCACGCGGGACACGAGACAGAAAACAGCTGGGAGATCCCCAAGCTGCTCCCCCTCGTCCACTCTGTCGGCTAACTGCTGACCACATAAGAACTGTTTATTCCCTTTATGTTTTTGACATCATGCTAATTAATTTTTTTATATGCACATTCTGTATGAACGATTGTGTGTGAATGTAACAGAGTACAGTAAGTCCTCGTTTAATGTTGCCCCCGATAACGTGTTTCGTTATAACATCGCTACTCTTTACATACCCACAATTCGGATGTCCCGCCGATTCAGTACAACGTTGTCACGGACTACTTTGTATGAAACATCGCCCTTTCTCATCTTGGCGCGGTACGCTCTCACCAGCGGAGCGTCACGGCGTCCCTGAGACCTTCTGGGTCTCAGTGACTCGCCACTCTCCTCCTCCTCTCCCGCCATCCTCCTCCTCTCCCGCCATCCTCCTCCGCTCCACTACCCACCACACACTCGCTCCACCACCTCCGTCCATCAGTGAGTACAATATAAAATTATTTAGTATTATATATATATATATATATATATATATATATATATATCTATATATATATATATATATATATATATATATATATATATATATATATATATATATATATATATATATATATATATATATATATATATATATATATATAAAAATGCCATTGAATTTCTGTATGTTTTATGGGAAAAAGGCTGGGGAACATACTCCCGTTTTTATCTATTACTCATGGGGAAAAATTTATTCCATTACTGTTGTTTCCATTAACGTTATGGTTTTCAGGAACCACGATTGTTAAGCAAGACTTACTGTAAAATAAAATGAAAAAATTCGTATATCTGCCCAAAATTACGAGTTGAACAATAACATAGCTCACAGCTCAGCCTCAGCCACTCTGAGTGCTACTGGGTGGTGAGTCAATCAATCGGCAACTCAGCTACACAATTACGTGCCATCTCTATAGATTTTATTCCTCGTTATTCCTTAAGATATTATTTTTAATTTCTCTTTGTTTAGCGATCATTTCACTTAGCAATCTGTTTTTCAGGAACCCGTCCCGATAAGCTAAACAACGGACACCTGTAATTATTTTAAACTTAACATAGCTATG